TAAAATGAAGGGGCCAATGTAAAAAAAAAAAAAAACGGCGTTCTCCTTTAAGATCCTCTAAAGCATCTGAGCTTTGATGGGGTCAGATTGAAAATATTGTTTTAAAATAGTAAGTAGTAAGCAGTGTATTTAAGCAAGTTGATCAGAACAAAACATCCACCTGCTAGTAATACGATGTGAGAGATTTCTAGATAAATAGAGACTGATTGATTGAACGACTTAATTGATCTCACAGTGGAGAAATTTACTCATTATACTCAATAGAAAGAAATAGCAAGGTGCCAAAAAGAGCACCTTTTGGGGGAACTTACAGTGAACGAACGTACGTACGTACGTACATACATATATACATACATGACAGCTGAAGTCTCTTATTTGGCAGGATTATTAAAGAGTTATTGCACAGGGTATTAACATGGGTATTCATATGATGCATATAGTTTTAGGCTTTACATGTAAATACTGAAATAAACCAACTTTTTTCATTAACATTTAATCAAAAGAAATTCTTATTTCAGAAAAATCAGCTCCATCTATGCAGCTTTTGAACAGAATGAATCATAAAGTACTGAGCTGACGTTGGAATTGATAAAACACAGCAGATGACAACGCTCCGCTTATTATCACCGACTGTGGGAAGTTTAGGCTGGATTTCATACAGGCTGGATTCCGTTCTTTTCCACTCTTGCTCCAAACTCTAAGGCCTTGATTTCATAATGATTGCAACAATTTAATTTCGTCTGGGAAAGATGACTTTAGGCCACCCAATGAGAGTTTAATCCTTTTTCCTCCGAGCTAAGGGCAGACTCTTTCAGCTGATATCCATGGTTTCATCCGTGGTGGTACTTCCTCCATCTGCAGTCGTTCATGGCTTCAGAACTTCCCTGAAACTCTCCAATCTGCTTTGCATAAACTCTGAAGACTCCAATCACCATTGTTGTTGGTGCAGTTTTCCTTTACATCTAACTTTATATTAATCTGCTTCCATTGAACCATTCAGATTGTCTAGTAGCTTCGATTGTGGATTTCCCTCCTTCTGGGACGTTTCAGTATTTGCTGGGAAATTATAAAATCTATCATCCACATGTTTCTGGAAACTACAGGACCACAGTCTAAACTATTATTCTATTTTTTTTTTCCATTTCTCCAATTTTTCTTGCTTTTATTCTAGTTCTGATTCTTGGTACATCAAATGTAAGCAGAAAACGTCTCATAACCCATTTTTTTGCTGGAATTAAATCAAAGAGCAGACTACGTGGATAAACAGGAATAGCTTTAAGCCTTTGGTTGAATACTTGAGTAACAACTGGACACATGGATGGTATGAGATCCCCCTTGGAGACTCCTCTTTTTCATATCCCCAAAAAGTTTGGGAAGAAAATAAACAATTCTTTGAAATTACAGACTTCAAAATACGATCCAAACGTAGCAGTGAACGATGGCGTACCTTCACCATCTGTGTCATCACCGTTGGAGAGCTCATAGAGTGTAAACACCGTGTTGTTCATGCCATTTTTAGACACCTGTGGAAACAAAGTAAAGAAGAAAAAGATTAAATAATAAATAAATAATACCTTCTTTTAAAGATGTCTGCACTAA